GGGAGGCCCCTAAGACAACTTCTGGTAGCCGGGATTCCTTAGGAAAAATTGAGGAGGCACCACAGACCCTGTTTTGGGGGAAAAAAAACCCCACTCTGTTTTATTTATGAAACCTCAAGAATTAAAAGCAGATAGTTCCCTCTCAAAATCAAAGCCTCTATTCTGTTTTGCACTGTGTTATCTGACAGTTTTGAGGTATCGAATTACTTCACATTATGAGAGAGCTATACCATAGCTATACCATAGCTCTCTCATAATGTGAAGGTAGAAAATACACATTAAGGATGCCTTATAGTAGTTATAGAGGGATACTTAACTCTTTGCACTTTGAATTAGAGAAGCAAGCTCTTGGCAACCTGAAAGATACTGAAACATCCCCACCCCCCACTGAGAGATGGGACTCTCATGGGGGATGGTTACAAAATAAGCTGATTGGCTTTGGGTTGCCTTGCAATGAAATGCATGGTAGAAGCACTGCACTGTCTTCTCCCATAGTATCTCCCTCCTTTTGGGGATCCAAGATCCAGTGCAAAATAGCACTCTTAATTTTGGAGCTCTTTGCTTTCAGCTATGCCTGCTTATTAGACCCTAAAAATGCATGCTATCCTGGCCCTGTTCCTCCAAGGGCTCTACCCTGAAGCCAGTAATCCAATTAAGAAACTGGCAGATGAAAAAAATCATACAAGTGCTGAATCTTCTGTCTGTCTGTATTGCTATAATGTGTTTTGTGTAATGTCTATATAAAGAGCTCTAACTGATTGGCTTAAAGAAAAAAAAGCACTTAAATCAAATATTTTTTAAGGAAAGATAAAAGCTGTAATGTCTTTTAGTTAATGTGACTTTAATCTCTAAGAAACAAAAAGTCTTAAGGATTATTGGTAGAATGCAAGTGTCATCAAAATGCAAATAGTATAAATCATACAAGTCAGATACTAGGTTTGCTAAATGTTGCAAGGTTGTAAACTGCCTGCTTTACAAATAGACAAGGCCTAGGACACATGGAGTTACATGCTGAAAAGAGTCAGACCTTATCTGCACTTCTATCTGGGTCCTAGCCTCCACACCTGATATATAATTAAAATAACTTAGTAACCAGGTTTTTCACCAAAAGTAAAAGTTGCTAAGTTACAGTACGACATTTATTTGAGACCACTAAACAGTTTTATATGCAAGGCATATAAAAACAGTAAAATGTGTTTTTTAGCAAAAGATTATAAGAAAGCACGAAAATGTAAATTTTTCCCAGGGATGAGGAAAAAGGTTATTTTCCTCCATTTTTTTGTCTTGCCACTGAATGCATACAAGAGAGGTCCTAAGACAACTTTTGGTAGCTAGGACTTCTTAGGAAAAATAGAGGAGTCCCCACATACCCTGTTTTGGGGGGCGAAAAAAGCCACTCTTTTCTTTAAGAAACCCCAAGAATTAAAAGCATTTGATAAGATAAAACTAGAGGTTTAAGCAAGTTATAAAAAGATTTTTTAAATTAATCTTGCAAAAAATGTGTAAACATTAACTAAATTCAAAAAAGTATGATATGATCTTTTTATAAATTGAGCATTGAAATAAAAGCACAGCAAGGTTGTCTTAAGATGCCAGGGTCATAAAAGGTTTATAAAGATTTCATCTCATGGTCAAACTGGTTAAGACTAGATGGAACCATCTATAAGGTTTTGTTTAAACAAATTGGGATTAACATTAATAAACTGAATGCAAGGATAAAAACTGGGCTTTCAACAGGATTTTCATGTAACAGTAAAGGTTTTTGCTTTTTGAGTCATCATTTTGGCAAAATAAATAATTTGTGGCAATATGGAATTCTATTTCCTAACATCAAGTGCTTTAAGTCCTCAAACATTTAGCAGGCTTCCCAACATCGAACTTCAAGTTTTAAAATTGTCTTTCCTGATGCCTTGCTTTCTGGATGGTTCAGATGGGCTCTGAACCATCCAGAAAAGAGATAAACAGAATTGTTTGACATGTGTAGTTACATGAGATTACCCAAATGATGTTCATCTGCAATATTCTTTAAGTTATATTTTGGCAAATAATACGAATATATGTTCCAAAATGGTATGGAATTTCTAAAATTCTAATGTCTAAGTATATGCTATTAATTAAGGTTGTCAAGTTATTGTAAACCACAGATAACTAAACTTTATCAGTCAGGTTTTTAACTGTAACTAGGTTGGACATTTTGTCATTTGCAGACAATTCTTGCCTTGCTTTGTTCCTTCTCAAAAGATGGGTTACAATCAAGCTATAAGACTTTAACAGGTGCTCTGAAATGCAGGCTTCTAATAGCTTTGAAGATTGTAACACTGGAATAGAGAAAAAATTTACAGGACTCATGAAGAGCTGAAATGTTCACAAGTATCAAGCAAAATAGAAGTTAACGAAATGGACTGAATTCAGAGAGCTAAAGCAACCTTTTTTATTTTTCTTAGAATATTCCTGATCCTTGTTTGTTTTTCAAAGTCAAGGAAATTTATTTTGAACCATTTATGGCCTTTAATAATTGAGTAAGGTATACTCCTGTGAACAAAGCATGTTTGTTTCTCTCTGCCTGTTTCCTCTAGAATTTGGAAACTATCATGAGACTCTTATCACAACATAGTTGTTTGCATCAGTGCAATAGGAATCCATTATCCTTTTGCAAGATGACATAATTAGAAAAACTGGTTATTTTATCAAGGCTTTGACTAGAAGCATATGCTTCCCTTTAAGGAGGTAATCTCAATTTGCAGAGACAATAAAAGTCCCATGGAGAGAACTAGCCTCATACCTACATATAATAGAGTCCCTGTACAGAGTTCCTAACCTATGATCAATAAAGAATGTCACTTTCTAACAGGACCAGGAGCTCCCAGTTTATCTTGGGGCCTTTAGAGGAGAGGATCACCCAATTCACAGGTATCTAAAGATACAAACCCATGGCTAGGCATAGCCTTAAAAGAAGCTAAAATTTCATAGCCTGAAATTCCTTGTGAAACAGAGTTTCATCAAATACAATCCAAAAGGCCTATGCAGAAATAATCATTCTTGCTGCACTTTATGCAAATAATCAGGCCAAGTATAAGACTAAAGTTTATTCTATGAAAAACACAGTCCTATCATAATTTATTTTTACCAAAAATGAGGACTAGAGACAAAAATTATGCTCCATAGCTTATAAATTTGTTATTAAATTCCAGTCTCATTAATTGTTTTTAAGTTTCTTTGCCAACATTTTAGACTAACCCTGCTTATTCCTGTGATTCAAGTGGTGATCTCCTGCAGCTTGGAAGAAACAAAAAGGGATGGGTAATGTAAAAATCTGGGTCAATATTCTAATTCTGGGCAATTATCCTGCAAATTCTGCCAGGTAATGAAAGTAAGCAGGATGCCCATAACGCAGAGGTTCATTTAGGAAGATAAAACCAAGGAACTTTACAGACCCCCCAAAGGGAAATTCTTTATCTTAGCAAGTAAAATTTTAGATGGAAATTATGTACTACACTACATCCATGAGATCAGCTGGAGGCTATAAGATTCAAACTGCTCCTAAGATCAGTGCTTGAGATATTTTGCAGACCTTGTACTTTATGGATCAGCTGGCAACACCCTGATGGATTAACTGACTCATCTGACCTTGTGGCCTCCACCCAGGAACTGACTCCGTAGAAGAGGACAGTTTCAATTCCCATGATTTATCTCCTACCTAACCAATCAGAACTCCTGGTTCACTGGCTTCCCCCAACCCACCAAGTTGTCATTAAAAACTCTGATCTGTTCTGTAAAAGCACATCCAAAAAACAGAAAAACAAACAAAAAAAAAACCTCTGATCTGATCCCAAGGGGCACAGTCGCTCACGCCTGTAATCCCACCACTTTGGGAAGCCAAGGTGAGTGGATCACGTGAGGTCAGGAGTTTGAGAGCAGCCTGGCCTACATGGTGAAATGCCATCTCTACTAAAAATACAAAAAATTAGCTGGGTATTAGTGGCAGGTGCCTATAATCCCAGCTACTGGGGAGGCTGAGAAGACAGGAAAATCACTTCAACCCAGGAAGTGGAGGTTGCAGTGAGCCAACATTGCACACTGTACTCCAGCCTGGGCAACAAAAGCAAAACTCCATCTCAAAAAACAAAACTAAAAACCTCTGATGCCTGAATGATTGCTGAAACTAATCCGAGTAATAAAACTCCAGTCTCCCACAATAGCTTGCTCTGCGTGAATTGCTCTTTCTTTATTGCAATTCCCCTGTCTTGATAAATCAGCTCTATTTAGGCAGTGGGTAAGGTGAACCCATTGGGCAGTTACATAACCCTAAGGAGAAAGCCAAGAAATCATGGAAATACCCATGAATGCTCTGATATTGTTATATTCCTGAATTTACCAACATTTGTTGGTAATTCTAAACTTCCTGTTATATGAAATAGTAAACCCCCATGGTTTAAGCTCTTTTGGATATTCTGTACCCTAAGGACAAAAATCAACCCGTCATTCACCTCTAAAGGCAAAAGAAAATTAATTTTTGCCAACATCCTTAGATCTGAAAACACTGCAACATACCAGAAATATGTTTGACTCCTCTTTTATCTTAAAAATTCAAGTATGTTTTACAATTAGGTCCACATAATACATATGCTTGCTTCACAATATTCTTCCCAAAAAGGAGCAGAAAACAAAACAAAATCACTTTAGACAAAATTTGATAAACGATATAGAGAAGCACAGAAAAATGTATATCTTCAATGCATCATCTTTTGATGGCTTTTTATTAATCCATTCCGAAATATAATATTTGGACATTAGTAATTTAAGTGGGATAAAGTTTTAAGTAAATTATTTTTCAAACAATCCAAATTTTTAATGATTATTGTAATCCTTAATGAAAGTCTTCAAGAGTTATAACATCTATCCATAATACATTGCACAAAGCCAGTGGTGGTAGTGAGAAAGAATAAAAGAATCATTTAAAGAAAAACATTTTAAATTTGTAATTGGTTCTTTGGCCTTACCAGTTCTCTATAGACACCTTCATGTTTTCCCTCTAATTTGGTTGACTTTTCTTTCTGTAAAACTTCCCTATTTCGGTTACCAGCAGCACTGGTATTGAGATTACTTCTAGCACCACCGCCACCTCCTCCAAATGTCTTCGTCTTTAGATAAGAGAAAGGTAAAAAAGAGGTATGTAAACATTTAAAAATAGCTCTAAAACCTAAGCTATGACTAAAAACAACTGAAGTAATTAAAAGTTTCTCAATTGTGTTTTACATGAAAAAATAAAATATTAACTCTTTTTTTTTTTAATAGCAAAAATATCTGCTAGTCACAATCTCTTTTATTCACAAAAATCCAGGCCAGGCGACAAAAATAATTACACAATTTGTGAATAAAAGGGAAGTCATGAAAATGAGTGTACAACTATAGAGAAGAAAATAACACAAGCATTATGAAGATTACTTATTAAAATAATTTGAGAGTAAAATACCTGACTACTGTCTTGAGACTTGGGTTCTAAATCCAGCTATCAGGCAATTTATCTTTGGATAACCAGGCAGTATTTACATTTAACTCAAATCAAAATTAAAACCACTTCTTCAATTACCAAAGATTCATTACTGGATTCATTAAATTTTTGGTTTATAGAATCCCAGCAAAAAAAAATATATCTGAAATGCCTTCATAATCATTGCTTGTATAACTAGAAAGAAAGTATTTACTAATGTGATACAAAATTTATTAGACTAGGAAACAAGGCAGCACAGGTAAGCACATAGGCTGTGGAACTAGACAAGGCTGGGACTAATCTTGGCCCAGCCACTATCTTTAGCGTTCAGGCAGGTCACTTAACTTCTACCTTCCATGGAGCCTCAGGCGTTTTATCTTTAAAATGGGGATTAGAAAACCTACCTCACTGGGATATTGGGAGGATTAAATGACAACATCTATATTAATTTATTGTCTCAGTAGCCGGCACATGGCAAACACTCAATAACAGACAGTAATTACTATTTTAGTTAATATACTAGAACAAAATTACCTGAAAATTCTGTTACCTGAGCTGCTCCAAATTAAATATATTTCCAAATTTTACATTCTATAATTCCAAAAGTGCTTTTTCTTTTGGTGCCAGTGAAACAGCCCCATCTTCTGGATGTATTTACTTATCATTTTCTTTCCATTTTATGGATTAAGGAATAGGATTAGTAGCATTTTCAGAGTTACTTTTCACTGCTCTAAAATACTACTCGTTAATGTAAATATCTAGAACCATCACAACCTAAATATTACCCAAACATTACTACTACCTGCCCTTTATGAGTCACACCTTATTGTTCATATTATGTGAATTAGGCATCCATGATAATCATGACTATGAAACTAAAGTGGGCCTTAATGCTGTCTAGCAATCTTACCATGTTTCCCTAGGCCATTCATATTCCTAATCTTCTAAAACACTATTTTATTACATGTTCTCCTCACTTCTCAAACTCTAACACCTTCTCTCACATCACTGTTAACCATGCTTACTCCTAAAAAAAACAAAACTGAACTAATCACATTAAAGAACTCACATAGATTTTGACCACATCAACCCACTCATTGGTACATGCATGGTTACACTTTAACTTAACCCCATATGATTTATCGTACCACCAACCTTATGAATATTAAGAAGAATGAGGATGGAATAAATAATCTTCTATAGCAATTCTAAGCCTTTATGTTATGTAACTTTTAAATTGCCTTTTATAAGGGTAACACTCCCTTCTCCATAATACATTTTCTACATTGTCTTGTTTTTATCCTGTTACTGGTTCACTTGGAACTTGGCTGGTTCCACTTCTGCCATCTAGGCTCTAAGTTCAAGTTGAAGTATTACAGGGTTCATTACTTAGCCTCTTCTGTTCTCTATCAATGCTCATTCCTTTGGTGATCTCGTTTGGTCTCATAATTTTCAATACTATCCAGATGTATACAACTCTCAAATGCATGTGTCTATTTTAAAGCTCACCCTTCAGTCTTATTTTCTATTAAACATTATTACTATCTGCATGTCTAGTAAGTACCTCAATATTCACATATTCAAAATGAGCACCAGATCTTCCTCTCCTCACACCTGGTCCACTCCAGGCTTCATTTCAAGGCAAGAAACTCTAACCTACCAATTTCTCTGGGTAAAACCATTACTTTTTTTTTTTTTTTTTTTTTTTTAGATGGAGCTTCACTCTTGTTGCTCTGGCCACCACACCCAGCTAATTTTGTATTTTTAGTTGAGATGGGGTTTCTCCGTGTTGGTCAGGCTGGTCTCAAACTCCTGACCTCAGGTGATCCACCCACCTCAGCCTCCCAAAGTGCTGGGATTACAAGCGTGAGCCACCACACCTGGCCAGATTCATTCCTGATACCACATCTTCTCTTGTACCCTATATCGAATCTCAGTAACACTAATGGCTCCTTTAAAATTCCAGAATCTGACCACTCTGCACTACCTACACAGCTGCTATATTTGTCCAAGCCATAACCATTTTTTTAAATCCTGGATTACTTCAACAATTCTCTACTTATTGGTTTCCAATTTTCCTTGTCTACAACCAAGTCTGAACACAACAGCTAGAATTAACCTTTTTTTCTGATACCAAATCTCACTCTGTTGCCCAAGCTAGAATACAGTGGGGCAATCTCGGCTCACTACAAACTCCACCTCCTCGGTTCAAGTGATTCTCCTGCCTCAGACTCTCCAGTAGATGGTACTACAGGAACACACCACCATGTCAGTCTAATTTTTTTGTATTTTTAGTAGAGACGGGGTTTCACTATGTTGGCCAGGCTGGTCTTGAACTCCTAACCTCGTGATCCACCCGCCTCGGCCTCCCAAAGTGCTGGGGTTACAGGTGTGAGCCACCATGCTGGGCCTAGAATTACCCTTTTAGAATATAGGTCAGCTGATTTTAATTGCTGTGCTCAAAACATTCCAAAGGCTCCTGTTTCTCCTTGAAGGAAGTACAATGTCTTTACAATAGTTTACAGGGCCCTACATAAGTTAACCTCTATTACCTCTCTTGACTTTATCTTCTACTGCTTGTCCCTTTGCTCTCTCTGCTTCTTCTGCCTTTAATACTCTTGCTCAGATAACCAAGTAGCTAATTCTCTTACCTCCTTCAAGTGTTGACTGAGCTCTCACTATATTGAGGCCTAAACAGACTATTATATTTAAAATTGCAATCTGCTTATTTAGTATGTTTACATTATTTATGATTCAGATCTTCTATGTTACATATCCACTGAGTCCTACAATTATCACTGGATAACCTTGGGCAAGTCCCAAGTTTGTTTGTTAGTTTTGAGCTTCCATCAACTCCCTCATATATAAATTGAGATGTTCTGATGTCTGCTGTTAAAAAAAAAAAAACTAAGATGCTTTAATTATCAAATATTTATGGGAAAACATAATATCAATTGTGACAACAAAAAGAAGCACCTTATAATAGATTAACTATACTCTAATAAATAGACAGCTATAACCGCATCCAACAAAATCCTAGGTAGAAAAGTTCATTTGAGATAAATGTAAATCAAAAGAACATCTTTCTGTAATCATTTTAAAAATATGTATTTTCAGTATCTTCTGAAACTCCATAATTTTATGTCTTACTGGAACAATAAGTATATTTCATGTAAGTTATGTAAAATGTATTAATTTAAGAAATGGTAAAACTGGATTTTTAAAAATATGCCTTGGATAGAAGAACAAGTGAAGAACTGCAATAGTCATGCTTATTGAGAGCTCTGAGCAAGGGTTATGATCTGTGTCAGGTAGTAGTTGTATTAGTTCTAAATGTTTTATTCTCACATATGAACTAGGTACTATTATTATCTCCGAGTTTCACAGATTAAAAAAAAAGGGGGGGGATATAAAAAGCTGAGTAACTATCCAAAGGTGTCAGCAAGATATGCTTTCAGGCTGTGATTCCAGAGCTTGTGCATCTGGCCCCTCACTAGACTGACAACAGAAAGATACTGCAGGAAGAACAACCAAAATTCAAGAAGACTACTCCTTCCTTCAAAATTAAAGAGGAAAGCAATTGTAAGCTAAGATTCATTACAGATTCTGAATAAAGGAAACAATTTCAATCTCACTGGTTAAGAAATGTCTATGTAGCAACTAATTTATAACCTAAAATTTCTTATCACAGTAATTGATAAGATTGATTTCTCTTAAGAGAAATCAATAACTAGAAAAAACACCTATTACAAATAAGCAAAAAAAATCTAAATAATGAAAAAAGAGCCTTTGGCTATCAAATAACATAAGAAGGAGGGGTTTGTTACTTCAGGATGTTGGTCTGGGCAAAGTTTTTTGGATAAGACCTCAAAAGCACAGGTACAGAAGTAAAAATTGACAAATGAGATGGCATCAAATTAAAAAGCTTCTGCACAGCCAAGAATACAATCAACAGAATGAAGAAACAACCTACAGAATGAAAGAAAATAATAGCAAACTATCCATCTGACAAGTGATCAATATCCAGAATATATAAGGAACATAACAATTCAAAATAACAATAAAATCCAATTTTAAAATGGATAAATGATTTGAATATCATTTTTCCAAAGAAGACCATACAAATGGCCAACAGGTATACGAACACATACATCATTTATCATTGAAATCAGCCCAGTAGTCCCATAGACACATTTTTTTGTGTAAACAGAAACTGACCCTTCTGATCTTGAAGTTTGAAACTTCCATTTGATTTATCTTTATCTGAGTCCCTTCTTCAGGAAATGACACTCAGGCCTTTCAAAAAAGTATCAAAGAACTAAAATTCACCAGATCACCACATCCAAACAATGAGATGCCACATCCCTCATTTATCGTAATTGCTTCCTTACCCCTCCTTAGTTCCTATTTTCCTGCATATAGTCAGATTTCCTCCCTGATATATAAATCCCTAATTTTAGCCCAACAGGGTGATGAATTTGAGACTGATCATCCATCTTTTCAGCTGCAGCACCCAATTAAAGCCTTCTTTCCTAGCAACACTGATATTTCAGTGATTGGCTTTCTGTGCAGTGAGCAGCAGGATCTAGACTGAACCCTGGGTGTCTCATAACATCATCAAGGAGATGCAAATCAAAACAAAATGAGATATTATCTCAACCCAGTTAAAACTGCTATAATCAAAAAGACAAAAATAAAAAAATAACAAATACCAGTGAGGATGTAAAGAGAGGTGAACTCTATGTACTGCTGGTGGGAATGTAAATTAGTGAGGCCATTACAGAAAGCAATATGGAGGTTGCTCAACAAACCTAAAAATAAAACCTGCATATGACTGAGCAATCCATTACTGGGTATTTACCCAAAGGAACAGAAATCAGTAGGTCAAAGAGATATCTCCTATATTTACTATAGCACTATTCACAATAGCCAAGTTATGAAATCAACCTGACTGCCTACCATCAGAGGAAGGAATAAGAAAATATAGTATACAGGGATTGGCTCTAGGACTCCCATCACTCTCACATTCCCAGCAGATAACAAAAAACATGGTCGCTCAAGTCCCTTACATAAAATGATATAGTATTTGCATATAACCTATGCATATCCTCTTGTATACCTATTTTTTAATTTTTATTTTTTGAGGCTGTGTTTCGCTATTGTTGCCCAGGCTGGAATGCAATGGTGCAATCTCAGCTCACTGAAACCTCCACCTTCTGCGTTCAAGTGATTCTCCTGCCGCCACCTCTTGAGTAGCTCAGATAACAGGCATGCCCCACAATGCATGGCTAATTTTGTAGTTTTAGCAGAGATGGGGTTTTGCCATGTTGGTCAGGCTTGTCTCGAACTCCTCACCTCAGGTGATCCACCCGCCTCAGCCTCCCAAAGTGCTGGGATTACAGACATGAGCCTCCACGCCTGGCCATTCTCTAGATTACTTATAATACCTTATATAGTGTAAATGTTATATAAATAGTTGTTACACTATATCATTAGGAAACAATCACAAGAGAAATTTGTATACATTCAGTACAGACACAACCATCCTTTTTCCCCCCAACAAATATTTTTGAGCCACTGTTGGTTGAATCCACAGTTAGGAAGAGTTGAATCCACAGATATGGAGAGCTGACTGTCTACACATAATGAATACTATTCATATACAATAGAAAGAAATTCTCAGCAACATTTTTATTCATTTCTCAGAAGTTGCCATTCTCAGCAACATTTTTATTTATCTCTCAGAAGTTGCTATTTCTCATAAGTTGCTATTAATAAGGGGAAAGTGGCAACTAGCCCAACTACTAATAGGAAACTCTCTGCCAGAATAAAAAGTGTGCCCAGTTGCTACATTCTTTCAAAAAAAAGAAGGAGAAAAGAAGGGTAATTTTCCAGCAAGAGTAACTTGCTGGTACTACCTTAGAGATCTGGAAAAAGAACACATGAGTAAAGCATAAAAGATTCCATAAAGTGGCAGAGCATTCCTACTTATGGAATTTGTTAGAAGAACAAGGTTAAGCATTTGTTGAATTAGGTAGCTCATGTGAAAAGACAATAACGATCATGGGTAATCTAGACAGAACATAACGTTAAGAAATAAGAAATGTGTAATGATTTGATTTCTTACTTCTTTGCTCTTTGCAACTTCAGCAATAGCAGCAGTCCTTTGCTTTTCAAATTCATCATTATCATTTGTGGGTTTGACAGGCATTGTAACTTGCAATGTTTTTCTTCGATCAAGTTCTCTGCTATCTACTTGGACATGAGATACACACTTCTGGTAAAACAAGTAAGAATAAGTCAACTTAGTAGTTCCGAAAGAGATTCAAGTTTTCATTAGAAAGTAAAACTTCTTCAAAAGAAAGTATCTTGTATCTTTTACAATAGCTAACAGCCTACACAAATAAAATTCTATCCCATATATTTAAAAGTAGAAAACTGGAAAAATAACTTTTAAACAAACATAACTAGCAAATAAAATTAAAAGCTATATAAATTTGTGGCCATCTAAGCCAGGCACATATTTAAAACATATACTGGATCAAGAGAGCTAACTTTCATTTTAGGGTAATTACTTAAATAATTTTATATTTCAAACAATCTTGACTAATGCACAATAAGATCTAAATCTTGTTTTGTCATGAAGAGCTTATTTCCATATTACGCCACAATATCCATATGTGGATTGGTTATTACAATTATATTACAATATAAAAAGACATCTCTGCACTCATAAACCACTCTAAAAACATACTCTTGTCCAAAATCAGGCTTCAAGGCTTTCATATGTTTTATCATAAAGTAAAACAAAGGCATCACTGCCTAAAAATAAGCCCTCAATTTTGATCTCCATTCCAATTTTACCAGTAAAAATTCTGTAAAATGAACTTTTTCTCAACTAGTTTTAAAAAAATGAAAAGGAGGAAGATCTCAAAGAAATGTGTTACACAAATACAGAAAAATTTCAGTAATAAAAATATATCATATTGACACCAACAAACACTCAGCATTACCTATCTTAAACCCATGTACAAGGCTGCAAGATGCTGCATAAGAATTTTTTCAGAATAAACTTTATAAACAAATAATGTTATTAAAATTATACCTTTTATTATATCCACTAACCCCCTAAAAGCTATAAAACCCTTAAAAGTCTTAAGAATAATTAGATCATAAATCTTTCTGGAAGAGAAATATTATCACCAAAATGTTTAAGAGTAAATTTTTACAAATATATCATTATTATTTTCAAATATAAGTTATTAGAATGTTTGCACTGCTTTCCTTATGGGGATTTTTATTACACTGGGAGAATATCAATCATCAACATGGATCACACCATAGGACTTCATACTTCCTTTTATCTTGGCTATCTCTTCTTCCAAACTCAGTAAAAGAAAAAATATTATTTTTAAAATGCTTCAAAATAGGTTTGATGCAAAAATGATTTACTTAAGTGAGAGTAGATCTTACAAAAGGCTTTTGAAGATCATACTAAATACCAAAATTTAGACACACAGACACACACACACACACAACCTTGTTATGTATGTGCAGATCTGTTGCCTACCTGTTATCTCTACAACTCACTGCTACTCTTAGCCAGCTCAGCACTCTTGAAAAAAATTAAAGAGCAAATGCAAGGCAGATTACCAATAGCTAAATTTTGATGGCATCATCAGAAGAGCAAGTTGCCACAAGAATTATTCTTAGAATTGTCAGGGATAAAGCAAGAACAGGTTGGAAAAGATTGTTGAGAATCAATTTAATGCTGAAGACAACTGAAGTCACAAGATACTGGTCAGAAGGGGAGCTGCCTCAAAGTAGCATTTCATCTGATCACCCTGTGTGGCTTCATTTCTCTCCCCCTCTTATGTTTTTAATGAACAAATGAGAAATTATGACATATTTCTGTTTTCTTACTTTTGAACTTCTCTAAAAAAAAAACCCTTCCTCCATCCCATTTTAATTGATTATAAGTTACTTTTCAGATATGACTCTTAATTGCTTCAATCTTTGGGTTAACAGCTCTTGCAAACATCAACAATATAATTACAGTGAAGTAAAAAAAAAAAAAAAAATTATTAAATTCCTTGAACTTCAGATTTCCAAATAACTCCATAACCTCTTAATAAATAGTTAAGCACATAATGAAACACAGCTTGAATACTAATGAAAAACACCTTTTCCTAATTTAAATTCAACTCCCAACACCAAAGTCATTACCTGTCCAAAAGGCACAAAAGGAGGTGGTCCACCTTCAGTTCCAATATTGCTTCTATTGTGTTTTGATAAGCTCTGTGGAAAAAGTCCAGTTACAAAAGAGCTGCTATACATAAAAACTATATTTCCAACATTTATAATGTAATAGGAATCTATCCATTGAGTAGATTCTTATAAGAAATAGGAAGAAAAAGGCCTTCCATAAAGTATTTCAAACCACACAAAATATATTATTTTTAACTTCAATAATCAGGCAAAGACTCTCTCCTCACCTTCCCTTACTAAAACACATATTCATACATAACTTTCAGAAATATTTATCAGGCCATTCCCCTAAGAAGAAAACAGTCCTCTTAAACAAGAAGCAAATTCAAAAATAACAAACTTTGGTAATAAGAATTCCATGTCAAAGCATAAAGCTATAAGAGACAATATTACGTAGAAATTATCTTTAAAAATAAAATTTTTAGACACAAAATTTATTAGTTAACAACATAAAGGTGATTTCTAATCAAACAGAACAGATTGTTACAGTATATAATATGGAGGTTCTTTCAATTATACTAAAATTTCCTTAATGTTTTATGTTTTTCAAAATAATTTATATTTTGAAAAAGTATTCACCCAATTTTTAATTAATAAAAATAAGCTTCCAGATCCAACTAATTTGAGTTTTCTTTTTTCTTGAAATCTCATAAAAATAGAGAGATAACAATGTATTATGAAAATGGAAAGAAAATCTCCTAGCAAAAGCAATTTCTCACATGATAAAGTCTTTCCAAAAATTCCATAAGGAGTCTTCAGGACTCTCTTCAGTTATGTATTCCTCCGACATATTTTGGGTTTTAGGTATTAATATACACATAGATGTCTTACTAGTTATTATTTAATACATTTCAACTTTAAACTTTTTGTGCATTTCAGTCATTACAGAAACCATTATGATTTAAATATGATGTAAAATACAAGGTGACAACATTGGAAAAAAAAAACCAACATGTGTACTTTCAAGTCTATTCCAGAGTTCCTGAATCATGTAAACACTGTATATTTTATGTATATTTTATAAAGACAATTAAGACTAATGACAACTGCAACATTCAGTTTATTGAACAAATAATTTAACTGTATATAAATGCTACATTTCTTTAAAACCTATCTTTAAGATGTTAACCTAATTTTTTAAAACAACAAATGCATAAAATTGTCGAGACCCTTTCCTTAATTTAAATATTAAACAGACTATTCAAACAGTTATAAATCATTTCAAACTATACTATCATTTCCTTTAAAAGTTCACAAATTGCAAATAATACCATATCTCAATAACATTATATAATTAAAAATGCATTACAGGACCTCATAAAGGTACATGAGCAATCCTTAATCTGTCTTTATAAACAACTAACAATCTTGACAATGTGTAAGAAACAACATTTTTTGTTTTTAAGACATAGGATAACAGATAATGGAAGACTATTATCCCTGAGAGAAAGAAAAAAAAAAAAAAAGGTGAGCTTGGGCTTTCTATTTGGAGCCATGATGCAGACAGAGATCACAGAGAGCTGAGTTGAGAATGTCAATCTCACAGTTCAAGCAGGCTAATGCAACTGGAAGTAGTGGGGCTGTTTCAGAAAGAAGAACCTGCATAGAAAGGAAGCTCCAGAAACTTTCACAGTTGTTCCCTTGAGTCACTGCTAAGAACAGGCTGAGCCAAAAACAACTAAAGGCTGTTAAGCCAAACAAGTACCAGAACTCATAAAGAGTATACAGACAATCCAGCCAGACTGGACTATGCAGACTAAAAACTCTTTGGACATTCATTCAAGACAAGGAATAGAAATCCAGAGGGTTGGAACAAAGGCTACTCTAGATATTCCTTTCAAAGCTTCAATACATGTCTTGAATGGGCCAAACTGATCAAAAGTAAATTAACTATTGACCAAAGCTAAGTCCTATACTCATTAAAGGAAAATAACAAAATCCAGGCTCTCAACAACTACCAACATCACAACGTCCAGCATCTAAGCAGAAACTACAAGGCAAGCAGAAACTACAAGGCATGTCAAGAAAGAAAAATGTGACCATAGCCATCAAAAAATTCAGTGAACAGAAACACGGCCATAGATGACAAAGATGGCAAACTAGCAAATAGGTTGTTAAACAGCTAATATATCTATACTGAAGTATTTAAAAGAAAAAATAAATTCAACTAGAAAAGAAAAATACAAAAAAAAAAAAAAACAAATGAAGCTTCCATAAAAGAAAAAACCATCAACAATGAAAATCTTATTGGATGGGCTTTAGAGTAAATTAGATAAGACAGAAGAAAAGCATCAGTAATAAAGAATTTAAAGATATAGTAATAAAATCTAACAAAATGAGGCCAAAGGAAAAAGCCAAGGGAAAAAAATGAATAGATCTTCAGTGACTTATGGGAAAATTATCAGCAGTTTAATGTATGTGTAATTGAAGGTATATTAAAAAAGAAAAAAAAAGGAGTAGAAAGAAGGAAGAAAAAAATATACTGGCCAAATCACATTTTCTAAATGTGATGAAAATAGTAAACTCATAGATCCAAAAAGTTCAGTGAATACCAAACAGGATAAAACACACATCAACCATGTCAGGTACGTCATAATTAAACAATCAAATTGTTGAAATCAATAATAAAGAAAGCACTCCTCCAAGAGTCCCTGCCTGGTCATGCCTGCAAGCAGTGTAGCCACCACTGTCCCACCAGAGCACTTTTGCTGACATCCTCCTGCCAGAATTGTTTGCCTGTGACCTCACGGCCACTCCTTTAGAAAACTTCCCACCTGCAGAGCCCCTGTCCCCCATCAGAATGTCCCCCCTCCTGTGGTGCCCCTTGCCAGAGCTGCCCACCCAAGGCAAGCCAACTACCAATGCCAGAGTGCTTCCCACCTGTGGTGTTCCTGCTGCCACCACCAGAGAGCCCTGGCTGAAGCATCCCCTTCCCATATGGCCCAGTGCCTGCAGTGCCCCTTTGCTGGAGCACTTACCACCCAAAGTACCCCAGCTGTCACCACAGGAGCATTTCCTGCATGTAGCCCCCTCACTTGCAGCACTCCCCATTATCCTGGCTAGAATACCGCCGCCTGTGGGGCTCTCCTCAATACAGCACTCCCACTTGCACACCACACACCCATGGCATTCCCCAGTGTGAGGACCCCCAACCTGAGGTACAAAGTAATTTAGAAAATGAACAAAACCTCTAAGAAATATGGGGTTATATAAAGAGACCAAATCTATAACTCTTTCACATTCCAGAAAGAGAACAAGCAACTTGTTCTCCCTTTATCTATAGTCCATAGAAATTTTCCAAATCTCACTAGACAGGTCAACATGAAAATTGAAGAAATTCAAAGAACCTCTGTGACATATTATACAAGATGACTATCCCGAAGACGCATAGTCATCAGATTCTCCAAGGTCAATGCAAAAGAAAAAAATCATAAAGGTAGCTAGAGAAAAGGGCATTTACAAAAAGAATCCCATCCAGCTACCAGCACACCTTTCAGCTTAAACCTTACAAGCCAGCAGACAGTAGGGCCTATTTTCAATATCCTTAAAGAAAAGAAATTCCCACCAAGAATTTCATATCCTATAAAACTAAACGTCATAACAGGGGGGAAATGAAGTCCTTTTCAGACATGCAAAATACTAAGGGGATTTATTACCACTAGACCTGCTTACAAGAGCTCCTAAACAGAGTGCTAAATATGGAAATGAAGAAATGATACCTGTCATCACAAAGCACAGTTAAAGACATATTTCATTGTCACTATAAACTAACAATGCAATCAAGTCTACATAACAACCAACTAAAAATATGAAGCCAAAATCAAACCCGAACATGTCAATATTGACCCTGAATGTAAATGGGTTAAATGACAGACTTAAAAGGAACAGAGTGGCAAGTTGGATAAAGAAGCAAGTCAACTGTTTGCTGTCTTTGATGTTTCTCCATCCCTTTACTTTGAGCCTCTGGGTGTTGCTACCGTCCCACAAGTAACAACACCAGAGAATCAAAGTAAAGGGATGGAGAAACATCTTTCAGGTGAACAGAAAACAAAAAAGAGCAGGATCGCTATTCTGTCAACTGAAACAGACTTTAAACCAACAACAATTAAGAAGGACAAGGAAAGGCATGACATAACAATAAAGAATTCAACTCAACAAGAAGACTTAGCTCTCCTAAATATGTACATGTCCAACATTCAAGCACCCAGAATCATCAAATAAGTTCTTCTTGATCTATGTAAAGACTTAGACAAACACAGTAATAGTGAGATACTTCAACATCCCACAGAAAGCATTAGACAAATCATCAAGGCAGAAACATAGCACAAAAATTCTGAACTGAAACTCAACACCTAATCAATTAGACTTAATAAACATCTGCAGAATCCTCTGCCCAACAACCACAGAATATACATTCTTCTCGTCTGCAGCAGAACACAGTCTAAGATCGACAACATGCTTGGCCATAGAGCAAGTCTCAATTAATTCAAAAACATTAAAAATTATACCAAGCACGCAGTTGGACCACAGTGCAGTAAAAGCAGAAATCAATAGCAAGACTTCTCAAAATCACACAATTAGGCAGAAATTTTAAAACTACTGAATAACCTCTGGATGAACAATGAAATCACAGAAGAAATAAATAAATAATTTGAAATTAATGCAGAGAGAGACATAATGTAAATCTTTGAGATGCTGCTAAAGCAGTAGTAAGACCTACATTAAGAAGTTACAAAGTTCTCAAATTGGCTGGACGTGGTGGCTCATACCTGTAATCCCAACTCTTTGAGAGAACAAGGCGGATAGATCACTTGAGGTCAGGAGTTTAAGATCAGCCTGGCCAACATGGTGACACCCTGTCTCTATTAAAAATACAAAAAAAGTCAGCTAGGCATGGTGGTGCATGCCTGTAGTCCCAGCTACTCGGAAGGCTGAGGTAGAAGAATTGCTTGAACCCCAGAGACAGGTTGCAGTGAGCCAAGATCACACCACTGCACTCTGGCCTGGATAACACTGCACCTAAAAGAACA